CAGAGTTCCTTCCCCAAAATCCTTTTCTGTCTTACGCCCTGTCACACAGTCCCCCCCCCCATGATTCACTTCCTCAAGATTCTCATATCGGAGCCCAGACTCTTTAACCTGGGAACGTAGCCAATGTACCCGAATTTGGTTCAACCGAAAGTTTATTGATGGGAGCGCTGAGTTCCATGGCCTCCTTCTTTCCGCCCAAAACTGTAGACAACGCGAAAACACTAAACGAAAACACCACCCCCTAAATGCTTCTACGACCAAGGTGTCACAGTCCCTCCCCTCAAAAAACTCTTCTATCTTACGTCCTGCCTCACAACCACCTCTCTCTCTTCCCCTCCCTCTCTCTCTCTTTCTCTCTCCGCCATTTTTTCCAGCTTATTACTTCGTCAGAGTACCCAGGAGCTCAGACTCTTCTCCGTGAGTTTTGTACCCGTCTTCAGAAAAAGTGCTGATTCCACGGCGCCCACTCCACCAGAATCCACACCTCAAATCCTTTCACGGCCACGGTGCCCAGAGTTCCTTCCCCATAATCTTTTTCTGTCTTATGCTCTGTCTCGCGGTCGCCTCTCTCTCTCTCCGCCACTTCCTCCAGCTTATTACTTCGTCAGAGTATCCAGAAGCTCAGACTTTTCTGGATGTGCTTTTTAGCCCTTTTTTGAACGGGAGCGCTGATTCCATGGTGTCCATTCTCTCTGCTCCGAAGTCAACGCGTTCACTCTTCAAATGCTTTTACGACCACGGTGCCCAGAGTTCCTTCCCCAAAATCCTTTTCTGTCTTACGCTCTGTCACACAGTCCCCCCCCCCCCCATGATTCACTTCCTCAAGATTCTCATATCGGAGCCCAGACTCTTTAACCTGGGAACGTAGCCAATGTACCCGAATTTGGTTCAACCGAAAGTTTATTGATGGGAGCGCTGAGTTCCATGGCCTCCTTCTTTCCGCCCAAAACTGTAGACAACGCGAAAACACAAAAATTACCCTTCAAATGCTTCTACGAACAAGGTGCCAGAGTTCCTTCCCTCAAAAACCTCTTCTATCTTACGCCCTGCCTCACAGCCACCTCTCTCTCTCTGCCACTTTCTCCCGCTTATTACTTCGTCAGAGTACCCAGAAGCTCAGACTCTTCTCCGTGAGTTTTGTACCCGTTTTCAGAAAAAGTGCTGATTCCACGGTGCCCACTCTACCAAAATACATACCTCAGATCCTTTCACGGCCAAGGTGCCCACAATTCCTTCCCCAAAATTCTCTTCCACAGGCACCCTATCTCATAGCCGCCTCTCTCTCTTCCCCCTCCCTCTCTCTCGTTCCTCTCTCTCTTTCTTTCCCATCTCTCTCTCCCTCTCTCTGCCACTTCCTTTTGCTTACTACTTCGTCAGAGTACCCAGAAGCTCAGACTCTTCTGGGTGTACTTTGTAGCCCTTTTTTGAATGGGAGCGCTGATTCCATGGTGTCCATTCCCTTGCTCCAAAGCCGATGTCAACGCGCTCACTCTTCAAATGCTTTTACGACCACGGTGCCCAGAGTTCCTTCCCCAGTTCTCTTCCACAAGCACACCGTCTCACAGCCGCTTTTCCCTCCTTTCCCCCGCCCTTTCTCTTTCCTCTCTCTCTCTCTCTTCTCTCTCTCTCTCTCTGCCAGTTTCTCCAGCTTATTACTTCGTCAGAGTACCAAGGAGCTTAAACTCTTCTCCGTATGTTTTATGACCCTCTTTCAAAGGTGCTGATTCCACGGTGCCCACTCCTTCTTTCCGCTAAAAACTGTAGACGACGCGAAAACACCTAAACGAAAACACCACCCCCTAAATGCTTCTACGACCAAGGTGTCACAGTCCCTCCCCTCAAAAAACTCTTCTATCTTACGTCCTGCCTCACAACCACCTCTCTCTCTTCCCCTCCCTCTCTCTCTCTTTCTCTCTCCGCCATTTTTTCCAGCTTATTACTTCGTCAGAGTACCCAGGAGCTCAGACTCTTCTCCGTGAGTTTTGTACCCGTCTTCAGAAAAAGTGCTGATTCCACGGCGCCCACTCCACCAGAATCCACACCTCAAATCCTTTCACGGCCACGGTGCCCAGAGTTCCTTCCCCATAATCTTTTTCTGTCTTATGCTCTGTCTCGCGGTCGCCTCTCTCTCTCTCTGCCACTTCCTCCAGCTTATTACTTCGTCAAAGTATCCAGAAGCTCAGACTTTTCTGGATGTGCTTTTTAGCCCTTTTTTGAATGGGAGCGCTGATTCCATGGTGTCCATTCCCTCTGCTCCGAAGTCAACGCGTTCACTCTTCAAATGCTTTTACGACCACGGTGCCCAGAGTTCCTTCCCCAAAGTTCTCTTCCACAGGCACCCTGTCTCACAGCCGCCTCTCTCTGTTCCCCCTACCTCTCTCTCTCGTTCCTCTCTCTCTCTCTCTCTTTCTCTCTCTACCACTTTCTCCAGCTTATTACTTCGTCAGAGTACCCAGAAGCTCAAACTCTTCTTCGTATGTTTTATGGCCCTCATTCAAAGGTGCTGATTCCACGGTGCCCACTCCACCAAAATCCATACCTCAAATCCTTTTATGGGCCAAGGTGCCCAGAGTTTCTTCCCCAAAATCCTCTTCTGTCTTCTGCCCTGTCTCACAGCCGCCTCTCTCCCTCCCCCCCCCCCTCCACCCCTCTCGTTCCTCTCTTTCTCTCTCCCTCTCTACCACTTTTTCCAGCTTTCCAAGTTTTGCAAATTTCCATAGCTTCTTCTTTCTGAGTTAAGCGTATTCAAATTTTGGCGTTTATTGACTCGTAAACAGAGTAGAGAAACGAATCCCTCATTATTGACTCGTAAACGGGGTAGAGGAAGGAATCTCTCATTTACGTACAGCCTCTGCGAACAGCTGGTCCTTTCGCCCAAGTGTGTTGTACATTGTGTCGACCATAGGCCGCGGAGGCAATGCCTAATTGAGGTATTCGTTCCTCTACCCTCGAAATAAAAAACTGCGGGGATTGCCTTTTCATGACACAAAGGCAAAAAAACTACGTATCTTACTGAAGAGGTCAAATTTCTGCCGAATTCCAACATCGCATTTCAGAGTCACGGTAAGGTAGTTACAGTAAGAGTTACGGTAGTTTAAGTGTTGTGTGGTTTCAAGATTAGACCGTTGATTTTTCTTAACTCCTTTTTTCGTAAAATAAGCTTACCAAGCAACATGTATACCATTTACGTGTCAACGTCGTATATCCTCTTCCTCCCCCCCCCCCTAGACCAGGTTCCATCCAAATTTGTGAAAAACTCTCTCACTCAAAAACCTTAGCGCAACTTTCAAATGCAACGTTGAAATTCGGCAGAAACGGTTGCCTTTACTGCTCACATGACAGTCATTATAAGCAAAAATGGAAACGCCACATTTAAAAAGACAAAAGCTATAACAAAAGTTGCAAAACTTATGTGGCAAGCTACTGCATACCAACTGATTGCTCTTTTGACGAACTTCCTGCGATGAAGGCCGACTCGCGCGAACATTGTTGTTACACATACCCATAAACCGCTTTAGGCGAGCGGCTATGCTAGCTTTTGCTTGAGCAGAAAGTGGGAGCAAAATTTTCCGTTAGGCACGCCCACACTCAATCGCTTGATCCCAGCCACTTCGTTAATGGTCAAATTAGTGAACGAACCAATAGAGAAGCGGATGTCCACTTGACCCATTTGGTCCGCCATCACTATCGTTGAATTTACAGGTTAACAGATTGGTGGGCACCGTCCACTCTAGATCAGGGGATTGAGCTTTTATCAATTTTCTAGTAGTACCCCTACCGAGCCCATGCCCAAGTCGCCGGGCAAAATGTCGCTTCGGAAGCGGATGGCTTCGGGGCAGCAAAGAGTCACAAGCACCCCAAGTCGGCAATGCCTCTCTTTCCAGCATTGCCCATCCATCCGTGCTCAGACATCCAATTACCGTTCAGTAGAACGGGCCTGCGGGTTCTCCGGGACGGGGTCGTCGGAGTTTTTGCCGATTCTCGATCTCATATTTGGAATCAGAAATCCCAAAACCACCAAAATTAAACGTCGAGGATCTGAGTGGACTACCCTTGAATGTGGCGCTTGCCTTGAACACTTAACGTAAGGCAAGGTGATACTGCCTTGCGAAGCGGCCATCTCCCGTCTTGCCAAGTTGCTCACAGTCCCCCACCCCCCCCCCCCCCCCCGCAGTTTGACATTCTTCTCCATGAAACAACCATCTGTCAGTTCCTGAGCGAGAACATCCCTAATGTTTGCTTACAAAGAGAGTGTTAGTTAAAGATAAAAGCAGAAGCAAAACAATAACAAAGGAGACATACGTGTAAATTACAAGTACAAGCAAAGATGGTGTTTGCCGGATCAATGCATTATCCACCTCTCCTCATAGAACTTTAATATCTTATCGTACACAAGATGACGCACCCGAACACTGCTCGAGTGAAGGCAGTATCCGGGCAAGAAGTCCAATTTAATTTTTGATTACCTAGGCCACTGGCTATTCGCTACAGTCGAGTAGATTTTCCGTTTAATATAGTGTGCTTGCACAGAAAGTGAAATGCGATGAAATATGCGCAACGAAACATCGACTAAGAAAACGTTATCTAAGTTGTTTTTTCAGCCACAAAACGATCTCCCTTTGCTTTTTGTCCCAAAAATGAAACCCAGTTTACTTTTACAAGCCACCTGTGCCGAGCCCTGGACCAGTAGTAAACGAGTCGAACCAAATGCAGCGGATAAGTCTGACGCCCACCTTTCAGCTTTGGTATCATAACCACCGAAGAATAGCTTATGTTGTACGTCATTCCACTGGCGCGGACTTTGAATAATGAACAACAATGTGATGCAATCTTTCTTATGTTAGATAATTCGCTGTCATTAGCCTCGCAATATCGTTGGCTAATCCAGCAGTCTCTCCGGATAGAGCACAATCCACATTGCCGCGTGTCCTAATTTGAAGCAGCACCATGCCGGATAGTAGATGTCTGGGAACAGAGAGAGTTCCCTTGGTAGGTGGCAGCTAGTCCATGTCGGAGTCGTCGCCAACATGATGAATGCGATCAAATCCAAGGAAGCGACGCGTTACAGCACCGGTCTTCACTATGAGTTTACTTTGCCATTTTGGATCACGTGATTTGAAGCCAATCACCTTCAAATGATTTACCTCAAGGCAGGAATGAGCGTCTAAGCTTATTGAACGTACCAAATGCTTTTCAATCACGTGTTCAGTTAGGTGTGACTTCAGGACCACTTCTCTGCAAAGTTTGCACAGTCAAAGTTCGCGATTATTCGTCTTTGGTATCACGGTACAATGGGTCGTTTCAAAATGCGTTCTCATGCGTATGCACTGAAAACCATATATGAGAAGACGATAACTCAAAGTGTACTCCTCGAACTAATGATTCTACAGCATATAAAAAACTGGCAAGGGCGATGCACATAGACTGCCACAATGAGGGCGTCGCAGCTTCAGCGCCCGGGCCTCGTAGCCACCTCCATCGGTTTTTGCGCCACGCTTGCGCACGCATCCTCCAAGCATTCTCGCGCTCAGCAGTTGAAAGCTGTGGAAATGCCCGAAGAATACAGGAACGCAACGCAAGGCCGAGCGGGGCGATCGCTAGGATCCGAGCTGCTGAATCTGTAACATTTTCTCCGAAAAAACCTATAGTTATATTATGCCAAGTCACAGCTTTGTCAATTTCCAATTTCTCCCATACAAGATACAAAACTCGAAAGAAGCAAAAGAAACATACATTGTAATCCTCCTTGAAGCAGACAAAACAATCTCGATACATGTGATAACGGCGCAGACCATGTACCGCGATGTGGCTTATCGTGTATGTTGATCCAGCATCTAAAACAGATAATTACAATACTGCATTGTTTAAGATACACTAAGCACAGAAGTCAAGAATGCGCAATAACCTGGATATTCCACTGAATCAGTGTGCCACAGAGTGGGCAGCAGGTTCCTTCTATACCATTCATACTAAAACATCTCTTTGTTGAACAAAAACACATAAAGGAAAAAATATGAAAAATGACCTTTCATAGCTCGAATGTTGCCCATCATGTTTTGCTTTCGCAAATGGTGAACAGGATTGGAACATACATGCACTACAAAATAGTGGTGTAAAAAATTTAAAGCTGTCTAAACTACTCGAATTTACAATTGATTGTGTGACACAATACACCAAAACAAATTATTATTTTGTCTGACCTCGAAACTACTGGTAGGACAGAAACATACCATTCCATTCTTATGCAGCTCGTGCAATGACATGATCTGGGCTGACGGCATGGGAGCTTCGCACACCTGAAAAATATTATGACAGAAAATAGGAAACAAGACAAGTTTTAGTCCTGTCAATACAAAAGCCATAAACGTTGGATATAAAAACATCTGAAACGCCCAAAAGAGCTAATGCTCTCAACTGAGCAAGAAATTAGCTCTATCGGATTTCATGCCAAAACATACCTTGCACTTTGCCACAGCAGGATCATGGAATCGCGATTTTTGGACAGGAAATAGTGCTCGCTTTGCTGCTGATGGACCTGGTTGTTCGTCTTTCAGCTTGATAACATCAGAGTTATACCTTGAACGATCGTCGCTGGAAGGAAGAACGTAAAAATTTGGACGCAGAACACTGTAAAATCACCTTCAAGACAGGCAAAGTTCTGTTCAGTGGGGCTACGGTAGCAACTTGTGCAATGCTGACTATTGGTCGTGGAGCCAGTCGTGGTGGGTCGGTACTTCTCAAACCATTTACGAAATAGGATGCTGCCGGATCTATCCTTATCCTTGCAGCTAAACGTAGACAATTTAGCATAAGAGAACAGTCAACGCATTCTGCAAATGACTTACAGTTTGCATAGTTTTATTGGGTGTCGGTTCAAATACGCTAGTGAAGGGGAAGTCCAATCCGTTATCGAGAGTCATAGCAAGCTCCTAGAATTCACTCTCTTGATGGAGCTTGGCACGACGCCCGCAAAAATATCCTGCATCCGCTATACCCAACAAGCCCTATAACGGCAACGGCCTCGCGCAGTGCAACCGCAACGATAGGCGCGCGAGCCAGTACAATAGCCGAAAATCGCCAATTTCTTTCTTTGCTTTTCATGTGTGCTTCTCGTTCATTTATCAGTGAGTAACAGCTATGACTATCACCTACCTCTATAGCTAGACCAGCTCAAGTGTGATGGTATGATTGCACTACGCGAGGCTGTGGCCGTTAGACCGATTGCATACTTTTGGACTTCAAAGAATTAGTTGTCTAATATGTGAAGCTGCGATATATACGCCCGCCGAATATCCAAAAATGCAGTCATAAGATTCTGTTTGTGGTTCAGAAACACCGTAGGAAAATTTGCAATGAAAATTTGCGCAAAAAAAGGTAACCAGAATTTACCTTTTGATACATCTCCGTGTCCATATGCTTCGGCAGCGATGAATGATGCAGCCATCACTGGAATACATAATGTTCATTTGGGACAGCCTTTGGCATGCTCACAAGTTGTCACGGAATGCTTCCAAAACAAATACTTACCGTGCAGAAACATTCCCTACAAGTTATCAGTGAGTCCGTAGGCGCTGGGAATGACCGATGCGAACACTCGGATGGTACCTCTACTTCTACCTGAAGGTAACGTAGACTTATGCCTACTCATCAGAGCGCGATTGGCTCAAGAGTGGAAACATCAAACCCATCTCGGCGGCAACTGGACACTTTCGTGACCCGCCCAAGCAGCAGTTTACACGTCTAAAAAAGCGAGTTATTGAAAACTCTTGAAGCTGCAAAGCACAGGCCTGGACATCCAGGGGGAACCGAAAACGGGTTACTGATATCTTCTAGAGCTGTAAAGCACATCATTCTTGGACTTAGCTTACCGAGTGGAACAGAGAACGAGAATATCCAAATTGTCATTCTGCCGATCCGCTGCCTTCAAATGACTTGAAACAAGTCCATTTCTTGGTCCTGTGTAAGTTGTCCAGGAATTGACTGAAAGAGACTGTCGCATACCGCTAAGTACGCTCATAACGAGCTTAGCCCCAATTCACTCGCAGAGATACAGCCTTGATGCAATCAAACAACTCACAACGGAAGCTTCTACACGAAAAACGTCCAAGTAACCATCATTTTTGAAATCTCGAACGCAAAAATAATTCACAACCGTGGGTTGGGACGATGACTGCTCTTAAGCACACGCTATGGTTGGCTCACTTGACTCACTTGATCCGCTTGTTCCACTTCGTCTATAAAGCGCCGTCAATAATGTGTCATTTCGTGTCGCATACAGTGCATTTGCGCAACAATACAATATTTTTTTTACCTACACAACCCCAAATCACAAAGCAGTGAGCTGATTTTACGCAAAGCGGATCAAGCGGATCAACTATGGCACGTGCCTTAAACTACGTGCATGGTTGCCCATGCGGCTGCTCAAACGTCGCAGCGCTGGATATGGTAACGGAAGCAAATAGGATGTCAAATTTGCGAGGGGCGAAAAAGCCGTCCTGCATCGCCATAAGCGACTTTGAATGAAGTTCATTTGGTAAGATATATAATGGATGAAATATATTAGAAAAAGGGTAATCTTGCATCCATACTGGTGATGGAACGCCCTTTCTTGTCATCCATCGCCTCCGTCTTTGTCTTTTTCAGTCGCTGCAAATCATACTATAAAACGGCGTAGAATCAAAAAACATTGCTTCTACGGCCTACAAAATCGCTGCAAAGAGCTCCTGGAATGCATTTCACGACTTTTGCTGCATTAATGCGAATTGGTAGTCACCTGTATAGCAGGCACACCTTAAATTGTCCGACATTTTTTACCAACTGAAACGACCATATCATATCTGCGACATTCACGTTAATGTGAAGCCATTGCACATTCCACGGCTGTCGCCTTCAGTTTATCGAATATGATTCAGTGGACATCTTGAGACCCTTTGACTATACTTCCATTTGAGGCGTTCTTGGCACCAATAATATGACTCACTGTTGCTGAATCAGCTAGTGCTAGTGCTCGGAGACTTCCTCTTCTACCAACATCCTAAGAAAAGATTTTATGATTAGGACAGCCTAGAGATGAGGAATCCGCCGAGCCATAGGCAGGAAATTAGACTGCTGCCGAAATCAGCGACAATAATGGCGATGCATACCTCTTTCCCCCCCCCCCCCCTCAGCCATCTCCGCTTCAGAAGCACCCCATTCTTCAGGTGTTCTACTCAAATTTAAAATGAAAGGGGAGTCATCTAACAATAAGATATCTAACAGTAAGATGAAAAGTTGAAAAGAAGAAAGGAGTTCGTAAAAGTGAAAGGGTCAACTTACTTTACAGGTAAAACATTCGTTGGCACAGTTGGGAGTAAGTTGCATAGGTCCTTTCCAATTCACTGAGTTTACCTGTAGATATCGAAAGGTAGCGATGACAAAAGGAATGCGACCTTCTCAACCAACACATGTCCACATCATTGGAGTGTACCGTGCTTTCTAGTAGCCCTTTTTTGGGAGTGGTTCTACTCCCCACTGCAACAGTGGACATTGGCGGAAAACTGTTCAGCAAAGGACAGGCTAATGGCTTGGTAATTGCAGAAGATCGGTACGTGCTAAGTCTATTCGGTGAGCAAGATGGAAGTGAGGTAAAAGAGAGATAGAAATCTGAAGGAAAAAGAGTATAAATTCATGGTCACGGTGCAATGTTGCGAGACCGAACTGTGCGTTTTGGTTCATCATGTTAGCGGAAACTGATTGCACTCAATATGGATAATATTACCGGCAGCTACTCTGTTCTTAACGAGCTGTACTTGCCAACCATTGAATTATTTGTATTTCCTCTGGGTTTTCCAAAACGTAATCATGGATGCCTTAAGCCCTTTCCTCGAATTTGCGATAATCATATAAACGCAATTAGACAAAGAGACGATATGGCAGTGCCGTGTCCTAGTGTATTCCTGTCTAGCTCCAACGAATTGAGACCGCAAAGTGTTCTCTACCACACCTTCTGATGAGTTGTCATGTATTCTGCCCGCGAAGGTTCGAATTCGAAGGTTTCTAGAGGGATGTGGCGAACGTTTCGTCTCGTGCATATGCGCGAGTCGTATCACTATAACATGAGAGCTGGCGGAGGCACTACTTATAGATATGGTCATGTTCAGAAAAGATTCCATGGTACCAGCCATGGAATCTGTTTGAACCTATTTGTTCCTTTGAAGAGTTGGTATTCAAAAGGCATCAAGAATGGAAAAACTTCTGCAAAACGTCCAAAGCTACGGGAAACACTTGATCCAACAGTACCTATGAGACGTCTGCATGTGCATATTTCGCGACCTCATTGCTCAATGCTTGCGCAGCAATTACGAGTGTGCCCGCCAAGCGTTCTCATGCCATGGCAAGGCGGCGCGATCCGAACACGCTGGAGCTGTGACAGCCACATTGAGACAGTCTGAAAACCTTATCTCTGCGCACAAATGTGCGCAACTGCCTATAATGCGTGCCACTTGAACGTCAGCCTACTGGCACAGCTGGATACTTTGAATGCCATATTTTCATCTGAGTTACACTGTATCCTAGAATCTTCCGCGAAGAAGACAATTTTAATAACATTCAGATCAGAACCTTTCCAGAGCCTCCGACTGTAACAAGGTCCATATGATAAGGACGGGATAAAATATAAGAGAGATTATATTGAACGCATGATTATGACATCATGATATATATACATGTATAAATAATGATATGATTGATTGCTGGCTACTTCAAGCCTCTCTCCTAGCTACTCCACTCAACCTTATACGTACTCTTTCACATCTGTTATGGTTCCTACTGCCTTCTCCACGAACTTGCTTTGCTGCTCGCCCGCTTTCTATGTTCTCCAAAGGCTTCTAAATTTGTCCATGCCAACCCAAACCTTTCGTGGCCACTGATCCCCCCCCCCTTAAACCAGTCGCGGAGCATCTCTAGCCGAAGTGCCCATCCCCTCCTTTTTCTTTCGCATGACACACTCTGCGGCGGTTCCTCCCTGAGTAGAGAAAGGAGAGGGAGGGGAATTGAAATCCGGTTATAAAACGTCAAGAAAGGTGACTATTGCATAGCAAAACGTTGTCGTGCGAAACGATATCTCCGGTTTCTTTAGTTGCTTACAGTTCTTTCCCCTCTCCTCCCTCTATTTTGACGCATCTGTATCTGTAATACAATCATAAACTAATGTTTGCTTAGAGAGTCTAAGATAAGCTCGAGATAAAGAGGAAGAAAAACAAAAACAAAGGGAAGTATAAAGCAAAAATGGCATGTTGAGTCGAATCTATGCACTCTCTACTTCCGGTTGTCTTCCAAAGCGACGTTATGGACGTCTGCTTCAAGCCAAGAAAATGGAGACGAAGGAAATTCATCATACAGCAGTTAAGATTATTGCAAAGGGTAGCCAATACGCACCTAACTCGACGTCTTGGAGACACCGTCCACCCTATCTAAGAGTTGTGGCGTTGCGAGAGTATACTATAGTGGACCTCCCACTGTCACCAACCAAGTGTCATCGCAGATAGTTCCTCCACGGGGCTGTTGCAATCAGTTACCTAATAGGCAAGCAACATAAATCTTGATTAGATTATTTGAAAGATTCTAAAACCCACTGGATTGAACCCAGATTTGAAATTGTTTATGGCTTCAGCACGCAGACTCTATTCTTGATCTTCTGAACTGTAGTGGATGGAGTACCATTTTGACTGACAGACACCGTATCAACCCCGGTTTTGCGGGGACACAAAGACCATTGTTCTGTTTTCTTGTCAAAATCGCTTCCATCTGAAAACCACCAGCTGGCATTTTGTTCTTAATATGACTGAATTTTCAACCGGATCTGAGCAACTCGAGTACCCTCCTTCCTCTTCCGATGTCTCGACTTTTGCTCGAAACTCAAAATAAGAAAGAGGGGTTAGATCATTACTTCAGGAAACCACTCTTCAACTGAACTGCTACCAGAGAGAGAGAGAGAGAGAGAGAAAGAGAAAGAAAGTCTATCGCCTAGCAGTGGAAGGAAAGCGAGCGGTGGCAGCCGTGAAAAACAGGGCGCGCGCGCCGGGACCACCGCTCGCTTTCCCGCTCTGTGCCGCGTTTTTGAATTTGGCTTACGATTTTATTTATTATGATTAGTTCTTAGGATTAACCGCTACTTTTATCATTTTATCGATTTTTTTTGCAAAGTTTGAGCTACGGGGCTGGGAGTTGCTACAAGGGGGTAAGTGAGCCCGCTAATTACAAACACAGCGAGAATAGGGGATTGGCATGTAAAAGTGGGCACAGGGAAAGGTTGGACAGAATAGGGATAAGACTTTTATCATAGTGTTCGACAGGGCCGGGCGGAGCCGGGTAAGCCAGCTAGTATGACCTAAGCATATAGCACATTCATCAAATTGTGAAAATTACAGTAATTTGAAATAGATATAGCTGCACCCATTACTAAAG